AAATAATAATAAAGAAATTCGCATTATTAAAAAAAGTCTGTGAATTGTTAAGTTTATGAGCCTACTATGAGGCTCGACTCGAGCCTAACTTATAAACTCAGGCTTGAGCCGAGCCTAAGACTTTTGGGCTCAGCTCGGCCTGAGCTTTATGAGGCTCGGCTCGGCTCGGCCTATGAGGAGCTTTAATTAGATCTATATTAGTCGAAACATATTTAATATTTTTTTATGCGGGAACCTACATTTGTATAAATGATAATATGTCTCTAACTACTTTTGTCGGCTATTGTTAATTTAAAAAGATGTACAATCATAAAATGTCAACATGAATATACAAACCGCTTCCGACAAGAAAACATTAACTGACGACTATTACAAATGGCACAATAAATTATCTGGTCTACCAAGCCCATTGACAGATGAAATTCGTTCCAGTTTATATAAAAGATATAAGAAAAAAACTGGGCTTGATCCCTGGATAATGTCTGAAACTCCTGAACCCCCACAAATCGAAAAGACTGATAATTACCTTTCACAGGATTGTGTTATCAAAATTTCTAAGTTTCCAGAAGAGAAAAGTATAATTATTGAAACAGTACATAAACGGTTTCCTTTCTTGTCTTACACTAATTCGAATGCATGGCACCAGGATGTTTTTAAATATACTAATTCAGAAGCTAAATGCCCGATATGTAAAGAGGTACATACATGGGGTGATTGGAGCTGTCTAGGTAAAAATGATCATTATTTTCTTAATTGCTCTTTTCGTATTAATCAAAAGAAAGTTATAATCGCTAAACAGAGCTTACCAGAAATTCAAGTAAGTGTACCAAACAAAATCCAAGAGGTAAAGCCTAAGAAGTTTTTGTCCATTACTGAGGCCGAGAAAAAAAGGTGGGCCATGGGGTGTTTTCCTGCTGACTTGGAAAGAGATATACGCCTTTATCGTGAAGGAATAAAAAGGAATGAAGACACTAGGAAATATCATAAGTTTTTAACAGATCGTGATTATACGTGTTGCCCAAATCCCAAATCATTTGGGATTTGGGACGCCAAAATTCCAAATTACTAGTATTTGGGATTTGGGATTTGGGATTTCGGCAAAAAATACTAATCATAATTTGGGATTTGGGATTTGGGATTTCGGCATTTGGGATTTCGGCATTTGGATTTTGAATTTGGGTGGCAGGTATAATCGTGATAGGCTGGTCGGTGAAGAGTTATTACGTCGCGGTATATTAAAGAGCGGTTTAAGTACTGCATGGCTTGATGAGCTTATGAAAGAATGGAAAGGAATCCATATACAATTTACACAAATTTTCTCTTCAGACAGGATAACAACGAAGGCATAATTAGAAAAATAAAATCTGCTTTTGTATCATATAACAAGCATGTCACATGCCAATGATCAATTATTTTTTTTCGTATAATGTATATATCTGCATCTTATACAACAATGACTTACACACAATCTAAAATCAATTTATCGAATCAGCGTATTATTATACTTGAGGCTGAAAACACAAAAGTTAAGGCAACACTGACTAATGCATAATCTAAAATCGATTTATTGGAACAGTGTATTATTATACTTGAGGCTGAAAACACCAAGGTTAAGGCAGAGAATGTAAAGTTAAAACAGGCTATGGGAAAAAATGCTAAGCTTAAAGCCGAGTCTTTAGAGGAGGTTAAGATACGTGAAAAGATTGAAAAAACTATGCTAAAGCTGGATGGGGTTCTATGTCACATGCCTAGCCACTGTGCGACTGCCTTCGTCAAATCATAGTTATGATTGGATTCACACTCAATTGGAATCCCAATAGTAAATGTGAAAGTGTAAATCATAATTGCTATATAATCAGAAATTAATTATAAAAATAAAACATGTATATAAAGATATTTATTCAGCGTCAAAATAATGTATAATAACGAAAACTCGATATGGAAAATATGCAATTTATTTATATTGTAGAAGCATGATAAAACAAGATAATTTCAGAAAAACTGGACACGCGTGTCTGGGCGTAGTAATGTGGCGCAGTAAACATGTTTTTATTGATGTGTAAAAAATATGGACACAGTATATTCACGAAGCAATCATTTTACATTTAAAACCCCAACAATCACTTGATCAATATTATCTAGAGATAGATTAAAAATAGACCTTGATGGAATAGATCGAATTTATGATATTTTTGTTTTACCTCCAGTACCCATAAAAAGCTTATATACCTTTTCAGCTCTTTCCTTCCTCTTTCGCAAAGCCTCATTACTAAGTTTCGATTCTGGAATTTCTTTTCTGATCTCGACTCTAACCATAGCGGTTGCTTTTATTTTTCCATTATTGGGTTTTAACTCCTTGTATCGTTTATATAAAGATTCGCCAAAATCAAAATATCTAGTGATAACATTTCGAGTTGCATCTTCATTTTTTATTTCAGCTAAGTCGATATTATTAGAGAGTTGTAAAAAGGTGGTGGCGTCTGTATTAGTGGTTTCCAATTTTTCGTTGACTCTGGTGAACACATTAGTAGTTAAATCTTTGATAAGTTTTTTTAATATAGATGATTCGTCTTTCTTGGTTTTAGCTTTCTTATTGGATGATTTATCTTGTGCGGTATTCATCTCTTCGGTGTCAACTTCAATAGGTCTTTTATTGGATCCTTCCATCATATCAGTACCTTTACCTTTCGAATTATGTGCCTTGGCACTAGCTCCACTATTATCTTTATTTCCCCGATTATCCGCATCTGTCATTTCTTCATCAATAATTTCTTGAGACTGGATATTAAGTTGGTTTCCCATCTTTCCAACTAATGACGAAGTGCTGAATTCTGAATCGCGTCTAGGCTCCGTTTCGGCTGTACTAGCTTCGGTAATAGTCTCGACACTTTTTCCACAGTTGATAAAGGGGCAACCATTTGGTTTTGTAAGTAGGAGTTTCTTCTCAATACAGATTCTATGGTATGTATGTTCGCATCCTAAGACTGTGAATGCTTTATTGGGGTCGGAAAAAATCTTTTTATTGCATTCTACACAGTTAGGCAACTCGGTGAATTTCTTATTTTTGATAACATTGTCGTTGAGATTTTTTAGGATGCTATATGTGAGGTTTTTAAGATTAGTAGTTGAAACTTTTTCTGTTCTCAGCATAATACACAGAATCAAATAAATTTTCGTTGCTCACCTTTCGTATACTTATATACCCGCTCATATGTCGTTCGAGAAAATATACCCCAACTCGAATTGGCATTACGTCCGAAATGATACAAAGATAAGTAAATTAGTTCATTCTTAGTGAAATTTATGATCGGCGAAAAACATGAAAATTAATCAAAAAACAGCGAATGAGGGTATATGTGAGAAATTGGGTCACACAAAAACATGTGGATCTAACCTGTAAAGTGCTTATTCCTCTGCATCCACGTTATCTCAAACATATGCTCATGATCACGGGAAAATAGAAATATGCAACGTCATACGTAAAAAATCTAATTATCCTGATCGCGGTTTATCAATGCAATTAAAATATCTTACTATAAAACAAAATTATGCCAGAAGTGTCAGGTGGTACATTTCCACGTATACATATATGTTAAAGACACTAGCTCCGCTATACACACATTTACTCGATTCAAATCTGGGAAAAATGTTTAACATAATCATGCTAGTCTATAATTTAAAGAATTATTCCTAAAGGATCTTAATACAGAAATAAAATCACTAAATTCAGACTCAGTTTCAGAATCACTAAATTCAGACTCAGTCTTAAAATCGCTAGATTCAGACTCCGTTTCGGAATATTCTGAATCGTAATATTCGCTTAGATCAATTGAGGTATTCTCCACATTTTGATCAGAAAACTCGATTAATATAACTTCTCCATCTGAATTAATTGTGGTAAATTTAGGAAATAATAATTCGTAGAATGTATATAATGAAGGGGATACTATATCAATGTTATTTCTTGCGTAATATATCCTTTTTTCCTCATTAGTCTCCCAGTATTTTCCATCACGCTCATCAATCCTGTCACCCAATCTCGTTAGCCACGTACTTCCCAAAACTAAGTCATATTCGGGTTTGTCAATGACTACAAAATACATATATGATTTTCCCAAATATGAGGGGGGTTTCAACTCGAAGATATTAGGTAAAGAAACAGAAATATTTTCTTTATCAGTTCAACCTCTCACCATTACCTTCTTGCCAGCATTTGTTGTGCCAACACCAAGTTTTTCCACTGCAGGATATCGTGATCCCCAATCTCTAGAAATATATAAGTCCATTTTTTTGGCAAGTGCTTTACTGATACTGTTATACTGGGATTTGGGATTGATAAGTGCTTTAACAGTTGTTTTACTATCAATGAATGTACAGTCCACTATTAATCTTTTGCGAATTTCTCTAATCACTTCGGTTTTCCATATATTATCTAGACTACAGCAATTTTTAAGATCTTGGATCGGAAGATTCTTTGTAATAGATGGTATCAATTCAGACGGAATAAGATCAAGCAAATTTGTATACATTGTTTTAAGTGTCTTGACACTAGCTCTGCTATATAACCAATCAAAAATCAATATGATAATTATTTACTTACCTATTCTCACTTACTTTTATCTCTGGAGTTATATATGATGATAGAGCTAACCTGTAAAGTGCTTATTCCTCTGCATCTACGTTATCTCAAACATATGCTCATGATCACAATAATCCAATTTTTTATAACCCTTTAGGGTTGTCCCTTCGGTCCTGCAGATCAAGGATCGCAGTTTATTATACGATTAATTTATGTCTCGAGGCTACTTTACGCACCTTTGTACAATTATATACCTTGTTCTTATTT